CATATATGCTCCATTAGTTCTCATCCGACGTCACACAGTCCGGAGGGCTCTTTGTTTCCTGTGCGATAGCCCATAAAGGGTTCTTCAGTGGATGAGCAAGTATTGCGTCACTCAGAATGCTGACAAAACTGACACGGTCCCCATTATCAGACTTAAACGGGCCTATTTCAGTGCGTCCTACCGCCCACTGTGCCATCCAATTTCTACCCATCTTCATCACCCTGTCCACCTGTTTCGGTTTTTTCCACTTAGCCACCACACTCGCCCACCCCAACGGCCCATGCTGCTTCTCCTTCTTCACCACCATTCGTTTCATCTCTTCCTGATAGGCATATCCATTTTCCTGCCATAGTCATATGCTTTGTATTGTAATTTTTCGCATTCTTTCTATTATCGAGAGTCTTTTTCAACAAACGCGCTGAGGGGGATTTGTGTAGGCGTGGGTTTACTTTCGATTTTGTCCTTGCATTTTCTTGTGCACCAGAATTTCTCCGGCCTCCAGTTTGAGTATGACAGAATACACACAACAACCACTTTCGGCTGGCAACAATATGTATTCTGTGTTCGCATGCTGACTGGTGTTGATGTTTCATTGATTACGCTCATGTGCATAAATCCGATTTGGTCAAACGCAACAATCAGTTTTTATTTCTCAGTCGCGTCTTTCACAGGTGAATTTGTTCGAGCAACAAACTTTACCAACCGACATCAGTCTGTAACTTTCTGGACTTTACCCAGAGCATTCTTCGCGCTACAACAACCTGATACTGGAGAGGGCTTTATTTTTTGTTTATCTGTACAATAATTTACCTTTGTCGTTTTTTTTCATACATTCTCTACGTCGCCACTTGTGGGAGACGCAACTTCCCCTACCTAGAGTTAAGTTTTTCCTGCATATATTATTTCCCTGTGGTTTTAATTATTGCTTATATGATATATCCGTAGTGCATTACAACTCTATTTAACCGACCGAATCTCATAAATAAAGGACTAAATGTGGCCCCTTGCAGCCAATTCTACATCCAGCCGATACCATCGTTCTCCGAGGTTCATTAAGGGCAGAACATTCTTCCCACCAAAACTACTCAACGGGAAACGCTGACCCCTATAGTGTATAGCTTGCTCTTTTTCTAATGTTTGTTCTTGTTATGCCCTTGAAGATCAGTTTTCCCATTTAAACAAACTCCTTATTCGAGCACTATTAAATAGGCTGAAACCCAGAAGAAATGAAGACAGCGCGACTGGGATGAATGTGGTTATTTCAAGTGTTTACACCTGTGTTCTAAAGAGACTGTCAGTTTCAAAGAGGTGCTATAATAAGCCTATTCTATTCTCGTAAATGGAACAGATCATTTTACTTATTTGCTCAATCTGCCTGTTTACTACCTTGTTCTGCCAATTTTAGCTAGGCATGTGTGTCCCATTCACGATGGCAACTTCGGACATCTCGTACACTGTAGGCTGCTCCGCTGATGATCGCGCCCAGCTGTAAGTTTACTAAATTATTGAAAGCTGCATTGGCATGTTTCCTTAACGGTTAACTGCAGAATCAACTATTAAAGCTTGCTGCATGTTTGCCAATACCTCGATATCTGCATCGTGTTTGGAAATTTTTCACTATTTATGGAGCCGCACCATCATAAAAACTCAAACGCACTGATGTTAACCTCTCATAATTATTTTTAATCCTCTCTCTATATATTTGTTGTGTCTGCATGTAAGACAAGTTCAAGCGAGACTCTTCCTCAGCACAATTACGAACCAGCTGAGCGATTTGACTCACGATATGGGCATCCTTAATACCAATGCTCCTCTCGAAGTTCAAATCGATGACCAACCAACTAACCGCACTTCTAAACTGACTTACGTACACATCCATGATCTTGCTTGACGAATGCCAACAAACGAAACCAATTGACAGAGCTCTGGGCAGATTACAAGGATTACCTAAACTCTTTTATGTCCAAGGTCTCATTCGGTCAATCGCTGCTCTGGAAGATAGCCCGACTTGCAATATGGCCAGGTGGATAGCGTGGAAATCGAACTTTCTTTGAGAGGACTCAGTGAATTTTATCACTTTGACTTCCCAACCTCTCGGCGACACCCGAGGAAAAATGGTCCATTCTAACCAAGTTATGATATCGTTCGATGTGTTATTACTACTCATGTCTATTCCACCGTTTGCCTTGTTCGACGCAGGTCGCTTTCAGAGAAGCAGAGCGTAGTATTGGGACGAGCACAGGAACTACAGTATCCATGGGACCGCTTGACGCGGAACGCCTACTCAAACAACTGCATCAGTGGCTGCCTCCGTACACGTCCTCGAAGGACAAAAGAGAGGACATCACAATCACTATGGTGGCCCCTTCTGCCTGGATAGGAACAAACCAAAAGCAATCGAAGATCTTGTTGCAGAGCTCAGCATGGATCTCATTCATCGTCCGGAAGCTACAATACCTGACAGAGTCATGCAGATAAATGGCCCAAAAGGTACAGGTGGGCAACCGGAAGCAGTTTGTAAAATTCCCCGGCACCACTGACCTCGCCATTTCACAGGTCGGGTTGCACAACCACCCAGCTCACGACTTCTTGAGAAAAAACGGGTCGTTTGGATTGGCGCGATAAACGAAATGAGAGTATCCGTGTGGGCATCACCACAAACGGCAATTCTTTTCCCCTTTCACCACCGCTGGCCGGATGGATCACCGTCTCGTCCTCTCTGAGATGAGGCCCGGTCTGCAGCCTCACCTGTGGCTACAAGGCAAGTAACGCCCAGGTAACCCCGCAGGAGTCAACCCACAGGCGTCTCCGCAGGAGGCCAAAAGGTAAGTTCCCATTTCGTTGTTCTTGTCTGCTGACTGCTTGCCTTTCAGACATCAACTGACCCATGGGCTGGAAGACCTGGCAGCCGCAGGTGTAAACGCCTCTGTCTGTTGCCCCACAGGAGGGCACAAGGTGAGCGACCACCATGTAAGCTAAATACCGTTCTGCTGAGTACAGCCTGTTGCATTTTTTGTGCTAACCGTTTTCGTTTCTAACATCAGCTAGCTCATCCCCTGTGCCCCCTGCCTCCCAGCCATTTCAAAAGTCCTACAGAGAGAGCGACATGTAATCCCATAGCCGGCCAAGGCCGACGCGGGTCGTACTCCCAATAAACAAAGTCGTGCCCCGTAGGGGAGTTCGCTAGCCGTCTGGGACGGATAAGCAACCCTATTTAGAGAGAGCGCTGCTTACCCACACGAAGGAGATGGGGCTAGAAAAGGTGCCCTAAACAAATGATGGGGACCCACGCCGTCTGCAGACTGACCGTGGTCACAGACGCAAAACTTACGATCGAAACAACCAAACACGAGGCAACACACTCTCTCTCTCTCTGCCCCTTCTCCCCGCCGCCCCGCTCGCCAGACTGGTAGGGTGAGTCCGCTGACTCTGGCAACCTGGAAGGCTCGTTCCCTTTCAGACAATCCATGGAGCAACCGACCAGAACGGAGGATGGCGCTAGTGGCTTGCGATCTGGCGCGCTGCAAGCGGAGATCGCTGCACTCAGCGAGACCTGATTCTTCGAACTAGGGCAGCTGGAGGTGGATGTCAGCTATATCTTCCTCTTGAGCGGTCGCCCCAGGGCAGAGCGATGGGATGCGGGCGTCGCCTTTGCCATCCGGAACGACATCGTGGGACGATTGCTTTATCTACTGCAGGGCATAAACAATCGCCCGATGAGCTTCCGCCTCCCAATCCGGAGAGGCAAATTCGGCACCATCGTCAGCTTCTACGCCACCCCGATGACCAGATCTGACGCGGCAAGGAACAATTTCTACGAGGACCTACACGCACTCCTGACGACGATGCCGAAGGCGGATAAGTTGACCACAGACCATACTGCATGGAGAGGAGTGCTGGGTCCCCATGGTCTCGACAGTTCCAATGACAGTGGCCTGCCCATCCTACGAACCTGCGCAAAACATCGTCTCTTCCTGACCAACACATACTTCCGCCTACCTACGCGGGAGATGCTATCTGAATGCCCCCGCGGTCGTGACACTGGCACCTGTTGGACTATGTCCTCGTTCGGAGGTGAGGGCAGGGGGACGTGCTGATGACAAAGGCGATCTCGGGTGCTGACGAGTGAACCGTCAATCGCCTCGTCATCTCCAAAATGCGGATTCGCCTACAGCCTCGAAGGAGACCTCAGGGTAAGCGACCGGCAAGTAAGTTGAATATTGCTTTGTTGTGTTTGCCTGCTCACCATCTCCATGTCAGCAATGAACTAACTTAACGACCAGCCAACCTTCGAATCGCCATCGCCGACGAGAACGCCGGCGTAGAGGACCGATGGTGTCAGCTGGGAACACAGTCCAGTCTACGGCCCTGACCGTCCTCGATCGCGCACGCCAGGACTGATCCGTTGACAACAACGCCGCCATCAGCAGTCTGCCCGCCGAGAAGAATTATCTGCACGAAGTCCACGTCTTCCGCCCTACCGACAACGACAAAGCAGCCTTCTACCGTAGTCGTCGCCTTGTGCACTAGCAGCTATGGGGGATGCAGGATACTTGGGCGTCTCGCAAGACCGAGGATATCCAAGGGTATGTGGACCGCAAAGAATGAAAGAACTTCTTTGTCGCGACCACGGCTGTCTACGATCTCATAGCCAAAGGAACCCCTCCTCTTCCGAGCGTCGACGGAAGTACCTTAATCACTGAAAAGGCGCAAATTCTGTAGCGCTGGGCCGAGCACTTCAGAGCCGTCCTCAACCATCCCTCCACCATCTCCGACACCGCCATCGCCCGTCTACCTCAATTAGGGACCCACGCCGACCTCGACCTCCCACCCTCTCCCCATGAAACCATCAGGGCCGTGCAGCAGCTCTCCAAGGGGAAAGCGTTCCAATCGGAGGCGATCCCTGCTGAGATCTACAAGCACGATGGCTGCCAACTTATGGAACACGTGACTGCGTTCATTTAGGCGAAGTAGCGTCAAGGAGATGTTCCTCAGGACTTCGACGACGCCACAATCATCCATCTCTTCAGATGGAAGGGGAGCCGCCATCTTTACAACAACCACGGACACATCTCCCTCCTCAACATCGCCGGAAAGATTTTCTTTCGCATCCTCTTCAACCGTCTCTACAGTTGTTTGGAACAAGGACTTCTGCCGGAAGGCCAGTGAGGCTTCCGCCGTCATCCTGAAACCCCTGACGTGTCCTTCACCGTCCGTCAACTGCAGGAAAGGTGCCAGGAGATGCGGATCCACCTCTACTCTACCTTCATGGACCTGACGAAAGCCCTCGACACGGTGAATTGCGAAGTATTGTATAAGCTCACGCAGAAATTCGGCTATCCTGGGCGATTTACTCAGATGATGCGTCAGCTCAACGATGGCATTCTCATTGATTAACGGAGTGAAACGGGGCTGCGTCCTAGCGCCTACCCTCTACACTCTCGTGCCTTCTGCCTCGCTAATGGTCGGCTACCGTAAGAAACGCCTCGGGATCCGCGTCGCCTACAGGATGAACGGCCAATGCCTCAACTGTCGTCATATGCACGACTCTGCACTCAGCGCAACTACTGAAGGTGACACGGAGGGAACATGGGCCTTCAGTGAGGCAGCATGTGGACTGCAGGTCAGATGAAACTGAGGTCAAATGAAACAACAAATATTTAGGGCTATAACCTACTCAAATAGATATAGTAGGTAGTATTTATAGGCAACGGATATTTGGGTGCCATCTCCCGATTGTTGCCTCTACGTCGCACCCCAAGTCAACGTGAACGGCTGCCAACTGCAAGTCGTGGACAACTTCACCTACCTGGGCAGCACTCAGTCCCGAAACACCAAAGTCGGCGATGAAGTGGCTCGCCGGATTTCCGAAGTCCGGCCGAGCATTCGGTCGTCTGTAAAACACAGTCCAGAATCGCCACTGTCTCCAGCTCAACACCAAAATGTAGATGTATAAGGTAGTCATCCCGCTGATGCCGCAGCATGGAACGGAGACCTGGAGGGCGCACAAGAGGCAGGCGTGGAGGCCCAGCCACTTCCACCTCAGCTGTCTTTGGCGGATACTGAAGCCGAGATGGCAGGTGCGGACCCGGACACTGACGTAGAGGAACGGACGGGACTTCTTGGCGCTTATGGCATTCTGAGATAACTGCAACTGCGCTGCAGCGGCCACCTCCTGCGGATGGACGACGAGCGAATACCCAAACGACTCTTCAACGGAGATGTTGTCAGGGGGTTCTTGTCGCAGGAGGTCAATTTCGGCGCTAAAAGGACATTTTACAGACTTCCTTGAAGTGTTTGCAGATCAACGCGGCCAATTAGGAAGATCTCGCCCGGGACCGACAGGTCTGAATGAGGACAGTGAAGAAAGGCGCAGCAGTCTATGGAGTCAACGCAGCACCGACGTCAAAGCAAAGCCTGAATCTCGAAAATCTCAACGGCACCCTCCCCCCCCCGCGCCAACGCTCAACTGCTCCCGAAGTACCCATAATGGACGTTCCGGGCATCAATCGGTCCTATCAGACATCTTCGAAGCAACTGCAGCACCCGGACGACACCACCTGATGTGCCTCCGTCCCACTCTGCCTCGTCCCCCACGTCGAAAATCAACACTGACCACACTCCTGAACCCTAACTGCCATCCTCCTCCATCGCTTCAACATCCGCTTTGACGCCTCCTGCACCCACAACCACTGCGCAAAGTCCTGACACACCGACAACATCCCGCTCAACACAGCCAGTATTAGCGATATGGACTTGGTCCATGGCTGCACACCTGCACACCTACCGTACCTAGCCCAACCACCCCCGTCGCCCAGTGCGCCAAACATTAGCAGCTCCACCACCATCACGGAAACCGAATCCGACACTGCCAATCTAACCTCTCCCCACTGTCCCCCTACATTCCCCTCACCCATCGGCCTGGTCGGTCACTTGCGGACCCAGCGCGCAGAGGCTGGTGAGCCAGTGCTTGGGGCACTAACCTACAATCGCCGCACCAGCCTCAACGGTCTCCAATACCCCCTCCCCCGCACATTCATTAACCGCATGGGCCTATTAGGCCACTTGTGCATTCACGAACGCCTGCGGTAGCCAACCGCCGGCTACACCCCACCAGCAAAACATCCCCCACCAGCACCAGCACCTCACTGCACCATCACCCATCACAGGCATCCGATTTCTACCTCCCACGCAGGTGGACAGTTTGTCATATGGCCACGTCTCCATGCGTGTCCCCTGTTGCATGTGTGATCCGAGTCTGAGGATATCACGGTGGACCGAGGGCCGTGGCTTGGAAGGCTGTCGACTGACGCTCCAACTCAGTCCACTCAGTCTGCCAAGTTGTGTGTTTGTGTGGAGTGGCGGACTGGTTGGTTGAGAGTTAGGCTGCTACGTCTCCTTCTTAACTGACACTCTCAAGCATGTGAGGATTGTGTGTGTATGCTTTATTGGTAGTGCGTTTCAGTCGTTGACTGGCTGGTTACCCAGCCTTTGAAGGATGATGGCTAGGGCAAATGCAGGTCTGTGTATCACCCTTCTGAACCTCAAGGTCTACAGGTGTCTACTATGCAGCAAACCATGGCTCTTGGAGCACAGGTAGTAGTACAACACCTGACCCTCTGCCGGTAGATGCGTCTGCGCTCCCGCAGTGTATGCAGGTCGTGAGAATGACTGCGCAGTCATACTCTTCCTTGTGACCCGTTGTAGCGTTGTCGTTGTTGGTTAAAATCCTGGTCATTTGTTGCGTGCACCAGGGGGGGGTGGAGTTGGGCGCCAGGGTGGAGGCTTGGCTGCGCCATCCTCCTACGCCCTCAACCGCCTCAGGTCTTCTTGGCTCTGTCTTGATACCGAATGGGTGGGAGAGGAGGAGGGAGCGTGGTAAATGCAGCCCAAGTCTGCACTCACAATCCTACCACAAACCTCAACCTTTAATCTGACGATTTATAGGTGTCTGCATTCTTACTCTCATTCATTATTGTTTTTCTGTCATTTTTCCTGCCTAGCTCAGAAGAAGATACGTTAATTTTAAAACTACTTCTCTAAATGCTCTCTTCTGCTACCGGTGCTTCTTATGTCTTTTTAGCCGACATTATCACACAGCGGCACTTCAGAACGGTCAAGCAATTTACTGGTCGGATTCTTAATGACTTTGCCCATTCTGCTAAGTCCTTCTCTCCCATACGTCGCAGCTTTCGACATATCTCTTGCGGTACATCGGCATATTAGCATTCTCTATTGTCAATCGGGGTTCGCTAACTTAAGTGCAAAAAGACAGAAATTCAGAAGCTAAGAGTTTAGTTGTCTCCGTAAACGTCTTTCCATTCTGTGTAACGCTTTTGACTCTTGAGTAATTTTTTAACTTATTTCTGTTCACTACTGCCCATTTTATTGCTGAGAATTCTAAATTTCATAGATGAATGAATTCTAAATTTATAATTTCAAAATAAAGCGAACCCCTCTCTCTTTCTCCCTCATCGTGCCTGCTTCACCTCGCTGTGGAGCACACGGTGGACATCGTCGGTCACGACGGGTGAACAGTCATGTGGAGTATTGAAACAGTATGTGAGAAGCGACAGACACACAGAGCGAAATCAGGCTGGTTTGCTTCGGTCAGGGAGTGATTCACTGTACGTTCACACCTTTATAAGTACTTACCTGGTCAGAAACGAGAGAAATTTGTGCGGATCAGCTCCTCCATCTGCTTCTGATTTCAGATGGTGATTGCTGTTACGATTGGTTGAATGAGGGAAGAATAAACCCCAAAATGTTCTCCATCGTCCCAGCACCATTCTCTGTTGTCAACCCCTCTGCAAAGATCGCTTTGGCAAGGACGCTCGTAGGATCTTTTAGAGAGTCTCAGGTGCTCTGCGTTTATATTGTTTAAGGGAGAGTTGGGTGACTGCGCTACATCGGTAGGTCAAACGCAGAACGCTGTGACGTTGGTGCGTCCTGACGATGCAATCCACCTCTGTTTGTAACAGGGTTTCCACAACGGTACTCTCCTCCCGGTCATATGTTCTGCAACACAGAAGAAAATGGCAAAAGATACCGAGATGTGAACGCCCTAACGATCATGCAAGTATCACCAGATCAAACGGTCTCCAAATTTACTATTGAATTTTGTTAATGGACGATCGCTGGTCAGAAAACGGACTCTCAAAGTCCCACTCAATTCTGTCCAGATGGAAGTTCGACTGGAGTTCATGTGAATTAGCTTAGCCAACGTCGTCAACGAGTAATATAAATTCCTCGCTTTGACTGCTGTTACGAAATGGCGATAAGGAGATCTTGCAGAACTGGTCAGCATGAAATGCGTCCATTCACGCAGCAAATCCTCAGTGCTATTATGCATACGTTATATTTGGAAGCAATGAATGCATAAGTAGTTATTTTGAGTCTGCTTTGGGCCAGTGTGTCATCTGAGTAAAAAAAGCGTAGGAACGAGTTAAGTGGAGATGCAACCTGATCGGTTCAACTTCGTATAATAGCCTACTTATTTAATTTCAGTACCTTGGATTAAGCTTTTGGTTTCGTGGTATTCTCTGGGTTCAGCGACGATACCTATGTAGACAACAAAGAAGTCAAGTCCGGCAAACGTATGCTTTCGATTACTCATCATCAGGACTGTACAGTAATATAAGGGAGGGCAGAATAGCAAAAGTTAAGCATCCAATAAAAGCCCAAGATGGCGTAGAGGGTTTAAGGGCGTTCAGATCTCAGTGGTCTGGTTCTAGTTCTGTCTGAGAGGGGGAGGAGATAAGGTGTCTGTGTTTTGTCGCTTTAACGCGGCGTGGCGGGTGAACACGTCTGCTGAGTTTGTGTTTACCCAGGGGAGCCTTAGAGCCTGTGAAAACGCTTTATGCGAGCACAAGACTGAGTTGGCTACCCGTATGGCCACTGCCTCTACCGTCGCAAGCATTCGCTGACGCAGGAACTTGGAGTTTCTCACCGACACCTTATAGATGACTTGGAATGATTGGTTAGCATCTGTCCATGTCCGCTAGCAACCTAGTGAGCCATAGTTGTGCCAGAGATTGACCTTTTCCCACCTTGGTTTAGCCAGGCATGATGGTGCTCTCGCATCCGCTTAGATAGACACCTAGTTCGACCAATATAACTATTCCCATAGGAGCCAGTTAAGACGTAGAGGGACATTGAAGAAGTCGGGAAAGACAGTCTATACT